GGGGGGGGGGGATTGAAAGAGGAGTGGGAGTGGAGTGGAAAGGAGTGGTGGATATGGGTGGTAAGAGAAAATATGAGATTCTTCTTTGTAGGATGGTGGAGGGGACCTAAGGATGAGCCTGCCATCGGTGGGGTGAGTTTGAGATTCTACTCCCTCGCTCCAGAGTTGCTTCTTACAGTAGAGAGCAGTATTATTCGGACTCGGGATACGCTATCATCTACACTCCAGAACATCCAGAAGGTGTAATCGTAGCAGACCCGATGGCCGAGTGTCTGCCGGGTATGAGCGCATATTACAAATGAGTGTATTGTCACAATGTGAATGGCAGGAACAGGCATACCATGCTACCGAGCAGGGAAGGTTGCTTTTTTGTAAACATTGTTGTTTCAGTTTTTCTTGTCCTTCGATGACCAAGGGTCTTGTTACCTGAAGCTTTTTAATTGGATTATAAATAGACATGAACATTGTATCCATCTTCTCGTATATGGCTTTCATTTCTGCAGCTCTATCATCAGCATAAAACAATATTTTTTGGGTTGAGAAAATTGCGATCTTTATCATCAAGTTTGCGAAAATCAAAAAAATGTTTCTACTATGGCTTCATTTGCGCAAGGTTGTGCGCTACAGAATACTCTGATTCGTTGAGTAGTAAATGTTACGGTGCATCCCTCATCACAACTTTTGCATAGAATCGTGATCCACTGCTGTTCGTTCTTCGCCCCACTGGTGAAGCTTGTCTTCTAACAGGAGATTCAGGGCGTCGAACGGGCGACGAAGGCTGACGGATAGGAGAAGACGGCGGTTGTTGTTGCTGCTGCTGCTGACGTGTAGTGCCTCCACGATGTGTCTGCAGAACAAGAGAAAGTCAGTCCACGCAGGGAGAGGACACGATGCAGAACCGTCGTCTCCTCCAATATGTAGTCCATCTTAGTCAACATTCGCATTCGTCGGTGCTCTGCTTCAGAAGTTCGTGCTCGCTGGAACTGTAAAGATCCTGCAGTTGGAGCAGCGTGAGACAACAAGGAAGACCGACCATCGAGAGCTCTGACCTCCCATGCTCGACGAGTCCTGCTGGTACTGAACGTTCTGGTTTACGTTCTCTGACATCATGTAAAATTGCTGTGGAGAGAAAGGACAAGGAGTCAGTGTGTACCATGGAGAGGAAACTTCTCTATATTTTCACCTCGGATGCATATGATTCCATCGAGTGCTGTGATTCGTTGTCCGACAAGCCCTCCCTGAATTCTTCTGACCCATCCTCTCGGTACGAATGGATGCTCCCCTCGCGAATATACTTGGGTGAATTCTTCTCATAGGCAGCATCCCAGTAGCCACGAGAAGACTTTGCTCTCTGCTGGCACACCATCAGGAGCTCATCAATCTCCTTGTGCCTGTTGCAGATTCTGTCCAGCCTCCCCAAGATCAGCCATGCCGCGGCACACGATGCAACTATGAGAGCGACCGCAGCTATAGACGCAACGACTACCAATGACCTCACCTGTTCACTGACTGCACTCTGTACTAGATTATTTAGAATGACTTCGGTCGACATGGACATTGAATGTTGAAACTAACTTTCTCCCCCAGCTCAACTGAGATCAAGATGATAAGTATATCTTAAGTTTTCACAGCTTTCGGGGTCTTCGCGTCAAATGGGACACTGTTTTCCAGCGCTGAAAAGGTGGCAGGAGACGGACTGGAGAGTGAAACTTGCAATGATAGACTGAGACTCAGACGACGACGAGACAACCTTGTTCCTTGTCTCAGTGACTGATCAAGAGGCTTCTTCCTGGGGTTTCTTGTCTTACCTTACCGTCTCACCGACCTCTGTTATATGCGATTTCTCCTTTTACCGCGACCATGCACTGTGTTCCACATCCAGGTTTGACAACGAAAAGTTTCCCTCGTTTCAATCGACAGAGCTTTTTATTTGAACCTTATATTGTATTATTTGTAATTTTCTTTTATTATTTGGAAGATATTGAGGAAATGTACCTCGCGATGACCTTGTGATAGACTACCTCTGCGAATTGATTTGAGCTGTACGAATCGATCATCACCCGCATGTTTATTTGTGTTATAGGGGTCCTCTTTACTATTGCTTTCGGTGGAACGTGAGCACCCAAAAACATTTTCGCACTTCTTGTGGTACTGAATATTGTACGAACATATATCTTTTAAAAACATGTGACGAGCCTTTAAAACTTAATAAGGCTATCTCTCGAGTGGCTGATTGGAAAGAACAACTGTTCGTATCCACTCAAGAGGTCGTCACGTTACCTTCCTTTGACCCCCAGTCACGTTACCGGTACTTTTCGCCGGGAAGCCGCCGGATTTTGTCCGGGGAACAGCAGCGCCACGATGCTGGGTTGGGTGACGAGAGCAGTGCAGGCCATGCAGGAGATGTTTCCGCTGGAGCTTGCTGAGGTAGGGGGAGGATGAGGAGGCATGAGGAGGCAGTGAAGAGACTGAGAGGTCAAAGAGGACAGAGAAGATAGAGGGGGGAGGGAGGGAGGGATGGAGCAGAAGTACCAATTGTCTGCTCTGTTTTCTGCTACGCCAAACATGGTATGAAACTCACTCAGCTGCGCTAGCCGTGGGACAATGTGGGGATCCTGGTGGAATCTTCCTTCACCGAAGAGGAAATCGGCGAGTCTGGAGCCATCCTGTTCACGAATGACCTCACTGAGAAGGTAGCGAGCCCTGGAGCATGAATTGACTGATAGTGGGAGCTTCAAGGTTCTGGAAGAGGCGCTTTCGGCTGGGGCAAAGCTTATTATTACTTATCATCCTCGTCCCTTTGGCTCGTTCAAGAGGTCATCTCCTCTCGCGATCTGCAACTCTGGCATGAGATGGAATGCAGGCTAAATCTCTCCGACGTCACGCAACGGATAGTGCTTCGCTGTGCGAGGGCGGGAATATGTGTCTACTCCCCCCACACTGCGTGCGACAATGCATCGGGGGGAGTGAACGATTGGCTGGCACAGGCATTTTCGTCGGATCCTCAATCAATCAGCCCTGTCAAGCCCATGAAGATAGAAGGTAATGTAAACAGCACGATGAGGCTGGAGGCGCCAGTTGTGACAACTGTGCCTCGCCTGAAACCAGTCACACCCTCCATCCCCTCCTTGGTGCTTCAAGACGCATTTGAAGCCATGGTGGCAGGTTATCCTGGGGCAGGATCCGGGAGGATCGTACAGTTACAAGAGCACATCTCACTGAAGGATGCGGTGGAGGTGAACAACCCTCAAACCCTGCTCAAGTACTCCAGGTCTCACGTGCAGTTGTTGCGGCAGGTCGTCAAGAAGCGATGCTGTCTTGAGCATGTCCGGTTGGCCGTCAGCGAGAAGGCATCCAACCCTCCCGCCGACTTCATGACGATCACTGACTTGCGTGCTCTCAGTGCCAAAGGGGGGCGAAACTCGAGAACATCAAGATCAAGAGTGTAGCGGTGCAAGCTGGGTCGGGAGGGAGCGTTCTGCTGGGGTGCCCAGCGGATCTCCTCGTCATGGGAGAGATGAGTCACCATGACGCGTTGGCAGCTATTGCTGTAAGTTGCTATCTTCCCTTCGGAGTATCCTCAACATCCTTGTCTTCAATCTGCAGCTCTTGTCCAACCTACCAAATTCTCTCTTTCCTCCAACGTACCCCCCTCCCTGACGTGCCCCTCGCTGCTGCTCCTCAGCTCTGTTTCTATCCATGTTTGTCTCATTCTTAGCTTCTGGCAGGCTGGCTCGAGCGTCATTCTTACAGAGCACTCAAATTCTGAGAGAGGCTTTTTGCCCCAAATGGTCGATCTGTTGCAAACAAGGTAATGAATGGCAAGGTGTCTACATTTCTTGATTGTGTGTAGGATGCAGGCGGCAGGCTACGACAAGCTTCAATACATCATCTCGACTACGGATTCCGACCCTCTTTCAGTCGTCTAGTGCTGTTTTGCACTTCGAAATGAGGATCTGGAAAACAAAAAATGCCATCCAGCACAAATCCTTCTTCGGCTTCTCAGATTCAGTACATTCGCATGAAACATCAGCCTGCGCATATGACCCTTGCCATCCTCTTCGTCATCTGCATCTTTCAGTAGTACTTGCACTGAGCAGCTGGAAGACCAAACTCTTTCGAGAATGCCCACTTCTTTGCCTTCAGCTGCTGAAGCAAATTCCCGTCCAAGGTCACGCTGGTACCTTCTGCAGATGCTGCTGCAGGAGCAGGAGCGGGCTTTGATGCTGCCGCAGGCTGTGGCGCCTTGGGCGTAGGGGCTGCGGCCTGCGGTGCTGCTGCCTGAGCTGCTGCTGCCTGTGGCGCTGATGGCTTGAAGTTTTCAAACGCACTGACATCAGACAAGCTCTCGCATACCACCATAACGATCTCTCCCACGGCCACGTCTGAGGCCCCGTCTTCTTTAAGGATCGCAGCAACGTATCCTTCCTCTTGAGCCTCCCACGCCATGGTCGCCTTGTCTGTCTCCACGTCACAGAGATGGTCTCCGGGAGCAATCTTCTGCCCGATTTTCACCATCCACTTGGCTGACGAGAACAAGAGTCAGAGCTATAGGGAATGCAGCGCAGGAGATTCCTACCTATGTTACCCGCCTTCATGGTGGGTGAGAGAGCAGGAAACGCAAGCTCCATGTGAGGAGGCAGTGAAGAGAAAAATCGCATGCCCCCCAAAGCACGCTGGACGCAGCGAGCTTGACCTCCTGCAGGAGCGCGCAAGTATCTCGATTGAACAGTGGTTGATACTGCTCTTGAGGAAAGGGAAGTGCGGGTGGAGGACATGAACGAAGAGGAGGAGGGATTTTGAAGGTGGGAGCAAACGGGAAGGGCGCGGAGCATTGATGAGGTGCGCAGAGGAAGTTTCATGGCAGAGCGCAGCATTGCGGAGGCAACGTTAGAGAGGTAGGGTGGTACTCAGTTAAAAGGGGTATGGAGTATTTGGTTAGTAAATAGTACCGGGTACTGCTCAATATTTTCATTGAAAGACATCGGTGGGGGTAATATTTGTAGGGGTCATCGTTGTAAATAGTGGGTAGGGGTGGAGGGACAACTTGCTATGGCTCAACCATAGGGTGTAGCAAATCGACCTTGTGCACCCTCAGCATGGTGTACCCCTACTTTCAACCATCAACTCATCAGTAAAATGAGGGTGGGTGTGTTATTCGGGTGGGGTAGGGGTGGAGATCACAGTGAGTCTAGCATGACCGGGTACTTGGACTCCAACTTAAGAGGTAGGGGTATTTCAAGACTGAGTCTGAGGGGAGCTTGATCATGATGAGGCAGGCTTGAAAGTTTTGTTCAGACCGGGTCCATCTAGAGCCTTCTATAGGATCACAGGGGGTAGGGTGGAGGTCTTGAGTCGTTGGCACACGTCACTTAGAGTAGAGTGAAAATGAATGGTAGTGAAGAGCTGTGGAAAGGTAGGGGTAGGGTAGGGAAGATAAGGGGGTGGGTTCATAGATAGTCATCCTCATTACCGGTTCTTGGACCAGTAAATGATGGGGTATGTGAGGACATGGGGTACGCGATATGTTGAAAGCCATTGTGATTAAGGGGGTGTCAACCCAACCCTACCATACGGCATCCCTTTATTGTACCCCATGGTCAATTTCCCATCCGCACCCCATACTAGAAATACTCACCCGTCATACTTGCATGACTACCCCTATATTCTCTTTGTACTACCCTTGATTATGTGGAGTTCATTTGCTAGTACGGGTATCATTAATAACCCTACCCCCTCAATTGGGTAAGAAATGAGCAAGGACCCCTGATTAAAAGAACCCTACCCACATCCATCTGCCATCCCGCCAAGGCTCAATGCAGGCGGGATGAATGCGAAAGAAGCGTGAGATGGCAGAAGATGTTGAAGGAAGCAGAGCATAGGGGAACGGAAGACATCAGAAATGTTAAGATCAATCGGGTTGAGGAGGAGAAGAGAAGATTCAAAACCAGTGATGTGTTGGTGTGATGGAGAGGAACGAGAACGATTGAATTTTTCATCCAGCGTTCCTCTGAATATAAGTGGACACCGACTGTCGAAGTCAATTATGACATACTTTGTTGCAGCATGCAATGTTTATTGCTGGGTTGAGTCGAGTAAGATGGGGATTGGATTGTACTTCAGACAAAGGATGATGCCTGTAGATTAAACAAGATCCAGGATGCAGGATCGAAAGCAGGATTCGTGAAGGCATTATCTTCCTCGATCTATTATCGATAGCAGATACATGAGTTTCGTCATATGTGATGTCGTCCTAATCCATCACAAACTATGATGAGGGATTCACTGACAAAGGCAGGGCTTGACCAGTTTTGGTTGGACTTGTTTGTTTTAGTACAGATGTAGCGAGGTGGTGAGTGGCTGAGATAGACTCTTGTCTTTGCACGCATGAACTTGTTGTTTTTTTATACTTGATGCTTGTATTTGTTTTTTAGTTGAATGGTCTCGCACTCAAGTCGTGATAATCATTCTCTGACTGTGTGGAAATGTGCAAAGTACATTTGTTCAGGACCTCCATTGAAAGAAAAAATGCACGATTAAGACGAGTAGGAACAGAAGGGTGGAAGGATTCTCAACACAGAGTTCATTAGTTTTAAAATTGTTCTTGACATCTGAACGGACACGATGCTCGCATGTTTCTATCTGAAGTACATTGCGGTGCAGTTGGGCGGGCGTTTACCTGGCGTTACAATCCTTGGCGACAAGTGAAGCAAGAGGACATGAAGTTCACTTTGATTTTCAAAGTACCAATCTCAGCAGGCCAGCTTCCTGTCCCTCTTGCAGCGTCCATGGACGATGAGAAGGATGCGAGCGGCGAGCTGGAGAAATACAAAGGTCAAGCTAAGAAGATCATGCGACAGACAAGCACCACGTCTCCGACTCCATGCACCATCGAGGCAGGCACTTATTCATTCCAGTGAGATGCTCCAGCATGTCGCGAACATGAACTGAGAGGTTCTGCAGTTATGTCATTATAGATGCTCCTGGGACCTCAGGATCCAAGATCTGCTTCCTTACGTTAGCTGAAAAGGGCTGCCCGCGCAGACTTGCGTTCGATTATCTAGACGATCTGCAGAAAGAGTTCATCCAACTGCACGGCCAACAAATTGACAATGTGGAGAGGCCGTACAAGTTCATCACATTCGGTAATGGCAGGCGATGGTGGCTTCGATGAGAGCGCTGATGGTTGATTGCCTCAGATACTTTTATTCAAAAGACCAAGAAACTGTACACAGACACTCGCGCTAATCGAAACCATTTGAAGATGATGTCGGATGACTTGCGAGACATTCAGGTCACTCTTGGGCCCTTGTCGTCGAGGCTGATGACTTTTGGGACGCGCAGGGCATAATGACAAGAAACATACAAGAAGTTCTTGGAAGAGGAGAAAAGCTTGAAAGTAATCAAAACTGAGAGAGCAAAATCATGCACTCAATGTGTTTGCAGCCGTAACAGGAAGATCCGCCACCTTGTCTGCGGAGACGAGGCGTTTCAAAGACAAAGCTACTTCATTGTACGATAGCCCCCTATGCTCACTCTTGCTGTGCGTGATTCTCAATTCACCGTTCAGGTATCGGGACTTGCTGTTTAGACAATGGGCTCCATTGGTGGTGAGTTTCTGCCTATTGCAATGATAGAAATTTTCCGCAAGATTCAAAATGCCTTGCAGGTCGTGGCGTTGGTTGTAATCATTCTGCTCTACATCTTCTGGCGATAAACAAAGTGGCACTAAATTCCATCTTCCCGTGCTTCGTGCGCTCTGCAAACGATATCGCATTTTTTGAAAATTTATTGCTTCGTACAAAACGACAAAAAGATTCATGAGAAAAAAATATTAAAACAATATGACTGGCGCGTAACTCGGTGCTGATCTAGAGCGGCAAGACTGATTTTCCGGCGAGGAGGATGGGTATGGAAGATATCACAGGCCTTGTCATGTGTCAGTGCTGTACCTGCGGTCGTGCACCTCGAAATATACTCACCCGTATCTATCCTGGTTGTCATAGAGCTCGTAGAAGGGGATCGCCACAAGAGTGTGATTCTTGGCTACGGCAAAAGTGCCTGGGGAGACGGGGAACGCATGCTTCAGAAATCGCTTGCACATGTTGGTGGGAGAAGGAGAGTGGGGATGAGGACGGTACATGTTTCCGGAAGGTGGATCAGAAACAACTTTCTACACTCCTTCGGTCTCGTCACATGCACAGGGAGGTATGGATACTGCCGCGAGTCGAAGTTCGGCCTGGCAATGCATGAGACAGAGCGAGGAGCGAGAGCTTCTTACCTCCACCATGTCGCCAGCTCTTCCCCGACCTCCCAGGGCAGGGGCTCCTCCTCCTTGAAGTCCGGAGGAGCCAGTTTGTTGATCAGCTTTCTCTTCAGTCCGTCTTCCTCCGTCTCTCCCGGCCTTAGCCTCCCGCCAGGCCTGCATGCTCGAGGTCAGGCGTGCTCGCTCCTCCCGACGGATCAAGTTTACAGCCGAAAGATCTGGTGGGCCCCAACTTGCAATAGGAGGACATGGGGATGTTTGTGCTGGTGCACAATCAGAACCCCTTCCACTGTTCTTCTCAGCCCCTCCTGCTCATATTTTGCTTCCATCCGGACGAACCTAGAGCTGGGATCCTTCTCCTAAGACCACAAACAAGTCACTCTGCCAGTTATGCCTGCTGCGTGTAAAGACACAGAAACATGCAGGACATCGAGATATCAGAGCAATTCCAACAGGAATGAACAAAGTCCCAGCATCTTAAAGCATGACGGATATCTAGAGCGACCCCAAGAGTTCGGACTCAACAAAGGGCATCGCCAGAACAGAATGGGCCGGGATTGCGGTGGGAAGAGCAATGGGGGGAGCAGGGGTGGGAGAAAGGAGACCAGGAGGACAAGGTTGACTCTCAGAGGCAAGAGAGGAGTTGTTCAGACCACTTCATCTTTGTCTTCCTTGGTCCCGATCTTGTACTGCTCCAGAGGGTACGCGTTCAAAATCGTCTTCAGCCGCTCCCCTCCCGCCATCTCTCCTCCTTCCCGCTCCCCTCATACAGCCCTCCCCCTGAAATCATCCCCCTCACGCCTCGAAATCATCCCCCTCATGCTCTATTCATCCCCCTCATCCCCCTCGATGCGTTGGAGATTCTTCTTTGAAATTTGTGTATACCACCCCCACCCACCTTTTTACGGTGAAATAAGGGGTAATCATAGCCTCCTGTAGTCCCAGTCGCCCGACAGCCGTTGGTACGGTCCCTGTCTCGCCATGCTGCGGTGGCGGCTCGGAGCGCTGCGGAGGGAGGGCTTCCAGCCCGCTCGACGACATCCCTCCGCCTCTCGTCGCCCTCCTCTCGGCCCCTCCTTCTCTCAGCCCTCCTCCTCCTCCCTCTCTTCAAAACAGTGCCCAAACTTCCACCCCTACCCGTATGTCCACCGCGAACGCAGCCCCTCTCCTCCCCGTGATCACGGGGGCCGCGAGGTCCCTGTAGGGAGGCAGAGGAGCTTTTCTGCTCCTCCTATCCGCCCTGCTCCTGTCAACCTCAGTGCTGACGTCAAGCAAGCACGTGCCATGTCTGCCGCACGGTTTGTCACCGACCAGGCACCCTTTGACGAGGAGGAAATGCGGCAAGATCCTTTCCGCGAGATCTACGAGTGGCTCAAGGACGAAAGTCTGCACGAGCATCTGCCATCTCTGCTCAGCCTCGGAGTCTGCGAGCTCAGGTAGCGGCAACGACATGCACATGTGCGACGCTGACGCTAGTCTTGCAGTCACTTGGCAGACCTAGACGCCATAGACCTCGGAGAGGCAGGGCTGTCCCGACCGGAAGTCAAACGATTCCTGCGCAAGCAAGCGAGCATGGCCACTCACTGCTGTGAAATCGCGTCCAGCGCCAACGAGACAGCCTCCTCCAACTTCTCCTTGCAAGTTGCCAACGTGACGGACAAGCACGGGGAGGAGGGGAGCGAGAGCGAGAGGAGCAACAGCTCTCCTTCCGTGAACCAGCCCATAACTTCAGAGCGCCTCAAGCAGGAGCAGGGGGCGAGGGCAGGAGAGGACGTGCTGCCGTATGACGACACGAGCTTTGGGTTCCGCGGCCTCCAGCAAGCCTTTCAGAGCCTGGTAAGGCTTCACCGAGGAGAGGAGCAGGAGACGATCGGCTACGGCATCGCTCTGCAGGTCACCAACGCCACCATCAACACCTTCTGCGTGCTCGTCAGCGCTCAGACTGCGAGCAGCACAGACGCGCTGCAGTCGCTGAGGATGAGCATGGAAGGGGTGGAGGAGTTGGAAGCGAGGCTGGACCCGCAGATCCTGCTGGTCTCGTACCCGCAGCAAGGCTTCCACCTGGTTGGAATCGACGTGTTCAACGCGAGCGTTGACTTCTCCGAGGCTCTCAAGAGAACCTCTCTCTCCTGCGACAAGCCTGCCGGCGGCATCAAGGACAACGGAGCGGTCGCAATATGCGGGTTCCGCCATGGCCAGAGGTCGCTGGCGGTAGCAGGAGTGGAGCAAGTCTCTCAGTCTCATGTGGTTCTGCACAAGGCGCTTGAAGCGCATCCTTGCTCCGTCCTCGTGGTAGGGGATGAGGTGACGGCGATGGCGCTAGGGAGCGACGGCACTGACCGCACTCTCCTCCTCCTCCACATGTCAGACTTGAAGCAAGTGGTGGCCTCGTTGGACGCTTCCCTCCCGCTCTTCTCGAGGACTCTGTCGTTTACGCCTGAGAGCAGCGCAGCTACCGGAGCTGAGAAGAGTCAGAGCTGCCAGCCGGACATGGACAGAGCGAGAAAGCCGCGGGCAAGCTGCGAGCTCGTCCCGTGCCTCGAGCTGCCGTCGATGCAGAAGACGATGGGAGGGAGCAGAGCAGGCAACGAAGACAAGCAGCCAGCACAGGACAAGGCCGAGAAGCAGGAGGGAGAGGGAGGTAAAGACGGTTTGAGCGAAGATCGACATGCGGCTGAGCAGGGGAGTCCCCCCGACCTGCCCGCTGCTGCGGCAGAGGGGCTGAGCGAGGGAGGAGAGGGCGGGGAAGAGAGTATCCGTCGCATGCTCGAGTCCGTGGCTGAGGTGGACGACGTTTCGACCCTCAACATGCTGCTGCTGCACTTCCTCAAGTTGAGCACGGAGAGCAAGGTCATCCTCACAAGGATCGACCAGATCTGCTCTCATGGGCAGGAGCTCAGCCGCTCCCTCGAGCAGACCTGCGTCCTCCTCCTCCAGCTCATGGACAGGCACGCTGACGATGCAGATGTGCAGGCCCTCTGCTGCAGCATCCTTTCTGCGCTGTCATGCGAGAAGAGTTTCCAAGAGCACATCGCAGCCTCTGGCGGAGCCCAGCACGTCCTCAAGGCCATGACGCTGCACCCCGACGCCCTCAACGTCCAGCTCAAGTCTAGCAGAGCCCTGTGCAACCTTGCCTACGAGAACGGCGACATCCAGGAGGACATGGCGAGGAGCGGAGGGGTCGGGATGATCCTGCTGGCCATGAGGAGGCATGCGTCCAAGGCGAGGATCCAGGTGGAGGGCTGCGGGGCCCTCTGCAACCTCTGCGCCAACAAGGCTGAGAACCTGAAGCTGATCCTGGAGGAGGGAGGGCTCGAGGCGATCCTGCAGGCCATGTCGCTGCACGTCTCCGACCAGGACGTGCTCTTCCGCGGCTGCTGCGCCCTCTCGAGCTTCGCGTCGTCACACCAGCTGGACAAGGAGCTGAGCGAGGGCGGGGCTGTGAGCGTGGTGATCAAGTGCTTGCTAGTGTTCCCGGACAACGAGGACCTGGTCTACAAGGGGTGCAGCGTCCTAGCGGACGTGTGCGAGGGCGAGCCCTGCCTCAAGACCTGCAGCAGGCTGGGGGCGATCCCTGCCGTGCTCAAGGCGCTTGCGGGCAAGTGCGAGAACGTGAGACTGCAGTCCAAGGGGATGCGACTCCTCCTCCTCCTGTGCGGGGACGGTGAGAACCACCAGCAGCTGATCAGGTACGAGGGCATCGGGCACGTGCTCAAGGTCATGGAGACGCTGAGGGGATCGGGCGAGATCCAAGAGCGAGGATGCGCGATCCTAAACAGACTCGCGCGGGTCGGGGACGCGCTGGACATGGTGATTGAGCACAACGGGGTTCAGATCATCGTGACGGCGATGCTGGACCTGGACGGGAACATCAACGTGCTGGAAGAGGGGCTGAGCTGCCTGTCGAGGCTCTGCCTGAACCCGACGGCGAAGGAGGAGCTGCTGCAGACGAAGCTGATCGAGTTCATCAGGAGCGCGATCGAGAGCAACAAGCTCCCCAAGACCTGCCGCATGTCAATCGTCCGGATCGTGCAGGCGATCGCGGGGCTGGATGAAGTCTTCAGCAGCGCTCTGAGGAACATCGGGGAGCATCGACCCATCTCCGCCATTCTCCCTCCTTCCATGCCGCGCACTCCGTTCAGGGCGAATGCGGCTTCAGAGGAGCGGCGGCCTGCGTCGGCGACGTTCTCGGGCAGCGGAGCGAAGCTGGTGAAGGAGCTGAGGATGCGACACGGGGACAACGAGAACGTGGACAGGAACCTGCTGCTGGAGCACCAGATCTCTCACCTTGCTAGGGAGGCAGAGGTGATACGAAACGAGAACCTTAAGATCATACAGCAGTGCACGCTGGATGGGAGGAAAGAGGAGCTGCTGTACCCCCCAAAAGGCAAGAAATTCTTGCACAGCTGGATGGGAAGAACGGGGGGCAAGAAGGCGAAGAAAGCAACCTGATGCCGGGAGGAAGCGAGAGGAGGTGTATTGCAATTGTAGGATGATGCCATCGTGTTGTGTTTGTGATAAGATGACAGTGTAATGAAAGTATGAGACTTGTTCGCATCATGGTCGTCCTCCCTCAAACCACCTCCAACTTCAACTCATGTGAGATCTTGTCGAGAATCTGCTTCCACCGCTCACCCTTGGCAACCAGCGATACCTTCCTTGGACCTGTGCAATTTCAGAGGATCGTTGGTGTGGGTGGAAACAATACCGTCCATGGGTGGCAGGGCAAAATCCTCCTCCTCCTCCTCCTCCTCCTCCTCCTCCTCCTCCTCTTGTGCTTGGAATCCTTGCGAGGCAACAAAATCCTTGTCCTCCATCAGGTGGATCGTCAAGTAACTGAACACAAGTTACAACCCTCCTCCTCCTCCTCTCCTCCTCCCCCCCTCCTCCTCTCCTCCTCCCCCTCCTCGTCCTTGTCTTCCTCT